GGGGTGGAGCTGGAGGGGAGTGTGGAGCGGACGAGGGAGTCACGGAGAGAGTTGTCCCTCCGGAAAGCAGATAAAGGTGGGGAGGGAAAGATGTCTTTGGTGGTGGGGTCGGATTGCAGATGGCGGAAGTGTCGGAGGATGATGCGTTGGATCCGGAGGTTGGTGGGGTGGTACGTGAGGACGAGGGGGATTCTTTTTTGGTTGTTATTGCGTGGACGGGGTGTGAGGGATGAGGTGCGGGAGATGTGGGAGACACGGTTGAGGGCGTTCTCGACCACCGAGGAGGGGAAGTTACGGTCTGATCACCATCCCCGGGACGAGCTTCCAGTTCCAGATTTGCTTCATTGAATTGAAATTCCACCAGGGGCCCTGTGGAACCCGTGTCCACAGAGCATTAGCTTCTGGGATTACAAACCCAGTGACATTCCCACTCTGCTACTATCTGCTTTAGCAAGGGTCTGGGTGTATAGCCAGTAGCATATGCCTGCTGTAGTAAGGATATTATTAGATTGGACAGGGTGCAGGCAAGATTTACAATAATGTTACCAGGGCAAGGATTTGAGTTATAAGGAGAAGCTGGATAGGCTAGGACATTTTCCCCCTGGAATATAGGTGGTTGAGGAGTGACCGTATTGAGGTTTATAAAATCATGTTTGGTTTAGATAAGGTGAATAGCAAATGTCTTCTCCTCAGGGCAGGGAAGTCAAAATTAGAGGTCATAAGTATAAGGTGAGAGGAGAAAAATTTTAAAGGGACCTAAGGGGCAACCTTTTCAAACAGTGGGTGGTGTGTATATGGAATAAGTTGCCAGCAGGTACAGTTACAACTTAAAAGACATTTGGGCAGGGGCATGGAAAGGAAAGGTTTACAGGGATATAGGCTAAGTACAGGCAAATGGGACTAATCTCGTTAGGAAAGTTGATTGGCATGGTCAAATTGGGCTGAAGGGTCTGTTCCATACTGTATGACTCCATGACTTTACCCACCTCACCTCAATCTAACTCAAGTTCCATGCCAATAATCCCAATCCCATATGTCCACCTGTCCTATTCACTTCCACTCCCAACAGAAACCTCCTCTCACCACCAAGATCCAATCCTCTGCTCATCCTCCAAACAGACCTGACCCCTGCTTGTTATTCTGCATCAAGGATTAAACAGCAGGCTACAATGGAAGCAGCCAAACTCTAAAAACAGAAAAATTATAAGTGGACATTACACAATGTGACAACTGTCAGATGGATCTGTTCAGATGGTAATCAGAACTTCTGGGCCAATATAATTACTTCTGTTAGAGTAAAAGTTACACTGGAGCTCATCCATATAAAGCTGACACATTTCCTGTGCAAGCAGATAAA